CCGTCTGCCCCATGCCCCTCTACCCCATGCCCCTCTACCCCATGCCTTTCTACCCCATGCCCCTCGAAAACATGCCCCTCTGCCCCATGCCCCTCTGCCCCATGCCCCTCTACCCCATGCACCTCTACAACATACACCCTCTGCCCCATGCCCCTCTGCCCCATGCCCCGCTACCCCATGCCCCTCTGCCCCATGCCCCGCTACCCCATGCCCCTCTGCCCCATGCCCCTCTACCCAATGTCGCTCTACCCCATGCCCCTCTACCCCGTGCCCCTTTGCGCCATGCCGCTCTGCCCCATGCTCCTCTGCCCCATGCCCCTCTGCCCCATGCCCCTCTGCCCCATGCCCCTCTCCCCGATGCCCCTCTACCCCATGCCCCCCTACCCCATGCCCCTCTACCCCATGCCCCTCTACCCCATGCCCCTCTACCCCATGCCCCTCTACCCCATGCCCGGCTACCCCATGCCCCTCTACAACATGCCCCTCTGCCCCATGCCCCTCTGCCCCATGCCCCTCTACCGCATGCCCCTCTACAACATGACCGTCTGCCCCATGCCCCTCTGCCCCATGGCGCTCTACCCCATGCCCCTCTGCCCCATGCCCCTCTGCCCCATGCCCCTCTACCCCATGCCCCTCTACTTCATGCCCCTCTACCCCATGCCCTTCTACCCCATGCCCCACTACCCTTCCCCATGCGCCCCTACCCCATGCCCCTCTATCCCATGCCCCTCTACCCCATGCCCCTGTGCCCCATGCCCCTGTGCCCCATGCCGCTCTGCCCCATGCCTTTCTGGCCCATGCCCCTCCACCCCATGCCCCTTTACCCCATGCCCCTCTGCCCCATGCCCCTCTGCCCAATGCCCCTCTACCCGATGTCCCTCTACCCCATGCCCCTCTACCCCATGCCTCTCTACCCCATGCCCCTCTACAACATGCCCCTCTGCCCCATTCCCCTCTGCCCCATGCCCCTCTGCCCCATGCCCCAGAACCCCATGCCCCTCTCCCCCATGCCCCTCTGCCCCATGCCCCTCTGCCCAATGCCCCTCTACCCCATGCCCCTCTACCCCATGCCCCTCTACCCCATGCCCCTCTACAACATGCCCCTCTGCCCCATTCCCCTCTGCTCCATGCCCCTCTGCCCCATGCCCCAGTACCCCATGCCCCTCTACCCCATGCCCCTCTGCCCCATGCCCCTCTGCCCCATGCCCCTCTGCCCCATGCCCCTCTGCCCCATGCCCCTTTGCCCCATGCCCCTCTGCCCCATGCCCCTCTGCCCCATGCCCCTCTGCCCCATGCCCCTCTGCCCCATCCCCCTCTTCCCAATGCCCCTCTGCCCCATGCCCCTCTGCCCCATGCCCCTCTTCCCAATGCCCCTCTGCCCCATGCCCCTCTGCCCCATGCCCCTCTGCCCCATGCCCCTCTGCCCCATGCCCCTCTGCCCCATGCCCCTCTGCCCCATGCCCCTCTGCCCCATGCCCCTCTGCCCCATCCGCCTCTCCCCCATGCCTTTCTGCCCCATGCCCCTCTGCCCCATGCCCCTCTACCCCATGCCCCTCTGCCCCATGCCCCTCTGCCCCATGCCCCTCTGCCCCATGCCCCTCTGCCCCATCCCCCTCTTCCCAATGCCGCTCTTCCCCATGCCCCTCTGCCCCATGCCCCTCTGCCCCATGCCCCTCCGCCCCATGCCCCTCTGCCCCATGCCCCTCTGCCCCATGCCTCTCTGCCACATGCCCCTCTGCCCCATGCCCCTCTGCCCCATGCGCCTCTGCCCCATGCCCCTCTACCCCAAGCCCCTCTGCCCCATGCCCCTCTGCCTCATGCCCCTCTGCCCCATGCCCCTCTGCCCCATGCCCCTCTGCCCCATGCCCCTCTGCCCCATGCCCCTCTGCCCCATGCCCCTCTTCCCCATGCCCCTCTGCCCCATGCCCCTCTGCCCCATGCCCCTCTGCCCCATGCCCCTCTGCCCCATGCCCCTCTGCCCCATGCCCCTCTTCCCCAAGCCCCTCTGCCCCATGCCCCGCTGCCTCATGCCCCTCTGCCTCATGCCCCTCTGCCTCATGCCCCTCTGCCCCATGCCCCTTTGCCCCATGCCCCTCTGCCCCATGCCCCTCTTCCCCATGCCCCTCTGCCCCATGCCCCTCTGCCCCATGCCCCTCTGCCCCATGCCCCTCTGCCCCATGCCCCTCTACCCCATGCCCCTCTACCCCATGCCCCTCTACCTGATGCGCCTCTACCCCATGCCCCTTTAACCCATGCCCCTCTGCCCCATGCCCCTCTACCCCATGCCCCTCTGACCCATGCCCCTCTGCCCCATGCCCCTCTGCCCCATGCCCCTCTGCCCCATGCCCCTCTGCCCCATGCCCCTCTACCCCATGCCCCTCTACCCCATGCCCCTCTACCCCATGCCCCTCTACCCAATGACCCTGTACCCCATGCCCCTCTCCCCCATGCCCCTCTCCCCCATGCCCCTCTACCCCATGCCCCTCTACCCCATGCCCCTCTACCCCATGCCCCTCTACCCCATGCCCCTCTACCCCATGCCCCTTTACCCCATGCCCCTCTACCCCATGCCCCTCTGCCTCATGCCCCTCTGCCCCATGCCCCTCTGCCCCATGTCCCTCTGCCCCATGCCCCTCTGCCCCATGCCCCTCTGCCCCATGCCCCTCTGCCCCAAGCCCCTCTGCCCCATGCCCCTCTGCCCCATGCCCCTCTACCCCATGCCCCTCTACCCCGCGCCCCTCTACCCCATGCCCCTCTGCCCCATGCCCCTGTGCCCCATGCCCCTCTGCCCCATGCCCCTCTACCCTATGCCCCTCTACCCCATGGCCCTCTACCTGATGCCCCTCTACCCCATGCCCCTCTACCCCATGCCCCTCTACCCGATGCCGCTCTACCCCATGCCCCTCTCCCCCATGCCCCTCTCCCCCATGCCTTTCTGCCCCATGCCCCTCTGCCCCATGCCCCTCTGCCCCATGCCCCTCTGCCCCATGCCCCTCTTCCCCATGGCCCTCTACCCGATGCCCCTTGAAGGAACTAGCTTGGAAGAGAAAAGATTGAATTGAGTAGGGAGCCAAGAGGCTCTTTTGTACAAAACAAGGAGCAAGAAGAGTTGGAAGGGAAGCTCTCCCATTTGGCCATAAAGTGGACCAATGGGAGAGCTTGCTTGTAGGGCAAGCAACCACAAAGTGTGGTGCTCTCCGATTGGCCACAAAGCGGACCAATGAGAGAGATTGCTTGGAAGGCAAGCAACCACAAAGTGTGGTGCTTGGTGATTGGTTGGTTCCTAGGACCAAGGACCATTTGGTTGGAATAGTGCCAACCAAATGTCTAGGACCAAATCCAATCTTGACCAACCCAAATGTGGGGTTCGTCAACCCAACCAACAACCCCCCAATAATTATAATGACTACACCTCCTAATCTAGGCATGCATGTTGTATAGATATATATATTACAACACCTCTCTACCCCATGCCCCTTAAACCCATGCCCCTCTCCCCCATGCCCCTCTACCCCATGCCCCTCTACCCCATGCCCCTCTACCCCATGCCCCTCTCCCCCATGCCCCTCTACCCCATGCCCCTCTGCCTCATGCCCCTCTGCCCCATGCCCCTCTGCCCCATGCCCCTCTGCCCCATGCCCCTATGCCCCATGCCCCTATGCCCCATGCCCCTCTACCCCGTGCCCCTCTACCCCATGCCCCTCTCCCCCATGCCCCTCTACCCCATGCCCCTCTACCCGATGCCTCTCTACCCCATGCCCCTCTACCCCATGCCCCTCTACCCCATGCCCCTCTGCCTCATGGCCCTCTGCCTCATGCCCCTCTGCCTCATGCCCCTCTGCCTCATGCCCCTCTGCCCCATGCCCCTCTGCCCCATGCCCCTCTGCCCCATGCCCCTCTGACCCATGCCCCTCTGCCCCATGCCCCTCTGCCCATGCCCCTCTTCCCCATGCCCCTCTGCCCCATGCCCCTCTGCCCCATGGCCCTCTACCCAATGCCCCTCTACCCCATGCCCCTCTACCCCATGCCCCTCTACCCCATGCCCCTCTACCCCATGCCCCTCTACCCCATGCCCCTCTGCCTCATGGCCCTCTGCCTCATGCCCCTCTGCCTCATGCCCCTCTGCCTCATGCCCCTCTGCCCCATGCCCCTCTGCCCCATGCTTCTCTGCCCCATGCCCCTCTGACCCATGCCCCTCTGCCCCATGCCCCTCTGCCCCATGCCCCTCTTCCCCATGCCCCTCTGCCCCATGCCCCTCTTCCCCATGCCGCTCTGCCCCATGGCCCTCTACCCAATGCCCCTCTACCCCATGCCCCTCTACCCTATGCCCCTCTACCCCATGCCCCTCTACCCCATGCCCCTCTACCTGATGCCTCTCTACTCCATGCCCCTCTACCCCATGCCCCTCTACCCCATGCCCCTCTGCCTCATGCCCCTCTGCCTCATGCCCCTCTGCCTCATGCCCCTCTGCCCCATGCCCCTCTGCCCCATGCCCCTCTGCCCCATGCCCCTCTACCCTATGCCCCTCTACCCCATGGCCCCCTACCCGATGCCCCTCTACCCCATGCCCCTCTACCCCATGCCCCTCTCCCCCATGCCCCTCTTCCCCATGCCCCTCTACCCGATGCCTCTCTACCCCATGCCCCTCTACCCCATGCCCCTCTACCCCGCGCCCCTCGACCCCATGCCCCTCTGTCCCATGCCCCTCTGCCCCATGCCCCTCTGCCCCATGCCCCTCTACCCTCTGCCCCTCTACCCCATGGCCCTCTACCCGATGCCCCTCTACCCCATGCCCCTCTACCCCATGCCCCTCTCCCCCATGCCCCTCTTCCCCATGCCCCTCTACCCGATGCCTCTCTACCCCATGCCCCTCTCCCCCATGCCCCTCTCCCCCATGGCCCTCTACCCCATGCCCCTCTACCCCATGCCCCTCTACCCCATGCCCCTCTACCCCATGCCCCTACCCAATGTCCTGCTACCCCCAGCCCCCCCCCCCTCACGTGTCATCATAGAAGCACGCGGAGATGGGTTCGGGGTCGGCCCAGATGCCGCCCGCCGCGGTGACCACGGGCTTCAGAGCCGGGTACGCTGTGCACTTGCGGCCCTGGCAAGGGGCACAGGGACGAGACGAGGCAGCACGAGACAAGGACGCACTGAGCACTTGACGCCGTGGCGACCACATGCGGCCGTCACAGTGGAGAGTTTGTGAGGCAGGGCCGTGGCGCTCGGCGGTGGCCCGGTGTGAGTGGTGGAGGAGCTCGTTTCGCCTCTGCACGCTGTGGGTTAGCGGGGAAGAACTCTCGTTCATCGTTCATCTTGCTATGCCTGGAACGCGACATACCAAGCCATGTCAATGCACGACGCATATCCGCATCAGGGAGGGGGGAGGGGGGTCATTCACCGCACCTGGAGCGCATCAGCGGCGGCGAGCACGAGCTGCCCGTGGCAGATGGACGCCACGGGCTTGCGCGCCTCCGCGAATTCCCTCACCAGCGCCACCACGCGCGCGTCCACCGACAGGTACTCGGGCGCGCGGCCTCCCGGCAGCACGAGCGCGTCGTACGACTCGCTGCGCGCCTCGTCGAACGTCGCGTTGAGCACGAAGTTGTGGCCGCGGGACTCCGCGTAGGTCTGCGGGAGGAGAAGAGGGGGCAGGGTTGGCAGGCGACAGCGGCAGGAGAAGATGGAGTTTACTACAGCCGATTTTGCAGGCATAGCGCGGACGGCTCAGGGCGTTGGCGCGTGACGGAACGAACGGCCCTGGAGGGAATCGGCGAAGAGAGTAGGCGCTGATCTGACGGCCAACAGATCCAGCCGCTCACCTCTCACGCGAAAGCGTCGCTGACCTGATCGCCGACGAAGTCGTGCACGGCCGTGCGACAGACTTCGCCCTCCTTCCTGCCCGGGCAGACGGCGTCGACGTTGAAGCCGAACGCCATGAGCGCCTGGAACGGCACCATCACCTGCGAGCAGCACGGCGCCGAGGACACACGGATCATTCACGGGACGCGAATTGCACGCGAGAGCTAGTACTAAGCAGGTCGGCGGTAGCGCCGTCAATTGAGCGACAGAAATGAATACTCGATATGAGCATCCGAGGTTGAAGATGCCGAAGGACCACGATTCGTAATATCGGGGGGAAAACGGCGCGGCTGCCCTGCCGTGATGGCGTGCACGGCGTACCTCGTAGTCCTCCACGTAGTCGCCTACGATGAAGAGGATCTTCTTGCCCTTCACCATGGCGGGATGCGATGTGCGATGTGCGATGTGCGATGTGCGACAATCACGAATAGGGAGGAATTGCGGCAACTGGCAGGGCAGGTAGGTCGCGCTGATGTCGATCTGCAGGGTGCAGGATTCTAGAATTAGTCGACTAGCACCGAACAGGAGAGGAAGTAATCCGTGATCTAGGCTCCAGTGCGGTAGACCTAGGCTTTGTTCTGTAGGCAGAGCGGATTTGTGATCCGCGATAAGCGTTAGATTCGATGCAAGAAGCATCGCTCGCACGCAGACGAATCGACGGCGTGCGACATGCCGCGACGGATTTGCGACGAGAAGGCCCCACTGGATCGCTCTCACTGGAGCCATGTTTCGTGATCTCGGCCTGCTCGAAGCTTCGACGCGTCGCACTTCGTAACCAATCGCTCAAAAGGCAATTTGACAGAAGATCGAGTAGATCCGTCTCCGATTGAAGTTGACGTTGGAGAAATCTACACTAAACAAATAACACTAGTCTCATCTGAACTGAACATTTAATGGACACAAGAAGAAACAGAATAATAGCGGTCATATTTGCATAATAATTAAGGAGCTCACACAAGCAATCACACCGTCGTCCTTCCAATCTGCTTTTCAAAGAGGCGTCTCAGCAGGTAGACCTGCACAAGGGGGCATGAAAGGCGCACTGAAATATGTCAATGGATGGAGGAAACCCTGGATGCATGACGGACAATGAAGCACTGGAAACGGGACAGGGCTTGCATGGGCACGCGAGTGTGCTTGCCTGCACCAAGGGGCATGTCGTCAGAGCGAGTGACTGAACCACGGTCTTCACCACCAGCTTGCGTGTTTTGGCCTTGGCCACTGGAGGGGGCGGGAGGGGGGAGGGGGCGGGAGGGTGGAGGGGGCGGGAGGGGGGAGGAGTGGGGGGGGGGGTGGGAAGAGGCAAACGACGAAAGGAAGGGGGGACGGATGAAAGCAGCAAAGGGAAGAGAATTGAAAGGGGACAAGCAGGAGGTAAACGAATGAGGGAGATTTTCAGGGTGACGAAAAAGAAAGCAAAGAGGGTAAGTGAGACTTGAAGGAAGCCGAAATCAACTGGGGGGTTCCAGGAATCAGGTTGTCTCAGAAGTCTCAAAGCTTACCCTGGAAGCTGAAAGCGCAACACTCACATACAGTATGTACCATGCACGCTCCATTGAATCACTGTGCTTCCATAAACGTTCCGAGTATGTGAGAGTGCTGCATGCACACCCTCACACAACCCGACTCTTACCCTCCTCCTCCTCTCACACACCCCTCTTATGCCCTCCGCCACCCCCCCCCCTTTTCCCCCATCCCCCTCTCCGTGCAGTGCTCACGTTCGTTCTGGCGCTCTGACTGGGCGTGGAACCACTTGGCCTCTAGGTGGACGCTGGTGATGTGGTTGTGCAGCCATGAGAGCTTTGTCACAATGGGCAGGATGTGCTCTGGGGGTGGGGGGCGGGGTGGGGGGGAGGGGGGGGGGGTGGAGGAAGTGCGCAACAGGGGGGAGGTGGGGGGAGGCAGCAAATGCTTTGGTCCGAAGAACACGAATCACGAGGGCGCTGCGAGTAAACCACGTGGCCATGACTTCTTTGAGAGGAAGGTTTTGCAATTCTCTTACAAGGTACTTTGAACTTCCATTCCTTTGCTGAAGCGTTTTCCTTAGTGCTGCTGGCCTTCCAAGCATGAGTGAAGTCAACCACGTGGACGTGCAGCGCTGGCAGCTCGGTTGCAACCCGCACACGCCCCACCATCCTCGCCTGAGCAATGGCACATCCCTGCCCTCACCATCCTCCGCCCTGCCCTCACCATCCTTGGCGATCTAATGGGGCTGCACCTGGTGCCCCACGAACACCTCCAACGACACCGTCTCAAACATTGGCGCCCTGAGGAGGGGGGGGGGGAGGGAAGGGAGTGGACGATGCAGGGGCGAGGGGGGGAAGGCCAGGGGACAATGCGGAGGAGAGGGTCAGAGGAGTCAGTTGGAAAAGGAGGAGGGGCATTACAAGGGAACGCGGGGTGAGTAGCGGAGGAGTGGTGGGAGGAAAGGGACTCAAGCGGGAACAATGGCACAATGACACGATGGCATGGGTGGCAAGGGTGTGATGGCACCGGTGGCATGTTTTTCAAGGGTGGCACATGAGGGTGGGTGGGTGCAGGATGAGGTGCGGAAACGGAGGCGCGTGATGGTGCTTGAAGGGTGCAGCCTCTCCTGCCCCAGCCCAGACTATTCTCCCTATTGTGACCTCCCTCCCAACCTCGCCCACCCAGCACAGGCTTGCGGCATGCACACGCCCCTCGCAGCATGCAGATGCCCCTCTCAGCGTGCACACGCCCCTCTCAGCCCCACAGGTGTCACACTCGCCCTTCCCCTACACCTGGCATCCCCTTCCGTAACCCTGGACGAAAGCTTTATGAAACTAGAATGGTGCCACAACATTACATTTCGTCGAGCACCCGAGCCACAGAAATCTTCTTCTTCTGTGCACCTCCAAACGCCCACGCACATCCCCTCACTTGCTCCTCCCCATACCCACCAGCCTGCCCCCCCCCGCCTCCCATACCCCCTGCGCTGCGCGCGCTCCATCAAGTCATCCCTTTCTGGCCAGGCTCATGCCACCGCCGCCTCTCTCACTGCCACTCCCCCTTGCCCTCACACCGCCACCTCCATGTGCCGCCACATCCGCGCCCACACGCGCTGCTGACGCACACGCTGCACCCTGCCATCCGGCCACTCCTGCCATGCGCACTCTTCCCCCTGCTGCGCTCCGCTCCAACCGCACTCACTTGCTCCTGCTGGCGCAACTCAAGCAGAATCGCCCTCGCGCTCACCGCCCATGCACTTCGCTGACCGCTCCCCCTCCCTCACATCCACGAGCTCTTCCCGAAACCACCCGTCCTCTCCCCTCCCCCTTCCCCCTCCCCCATCCCCCCTCCCCTCCTCGCCTCCTCGCCTCCTCGCCTCCTCCCCTCCTCCCCTCCCCCCTCCCCTCTTTTGTCTCACTTGTTGGTGCAGCAGAAGCGGTAGTGCCCTCGCGTTGCGACATGCCCTAAACTCAAATTTTCCCTGCGTCTGCCCCTCCTTCGAAAACGCCGTGTACCCATCGGGGTCGCCGTGTACCACAGAGGAGGGGGGGAGGTTTTGTGTGGGGGGGGGGGGGAAGGGTGGCGCGGGCAAGAGCGTGACGAATGGCGAGCAGGTGGAGTGGTGGCGGCGGAACAGAACAGCTGCACGGCGCAGGGTGCAGCGATGCCTGCCGCCACGAGTGAGAGAGAGCACGGACGAGCAGCGCAACGACGAGGCGCCACGTGGACTCACCCCAAGGTCGGCACCGTTACTGCTCCCAGTGGCCGCAAGAGGCGCTGACGACCACTCAGTGCGCGAGTAGGGTACCGCATGATGCAGCCATGTAGGTAACTCGGTCGACCGGGCGGGCTCCCACCGCGAGGTCGACGCCGTTGTGCTCCCAGTCGCCCCACGAGTCGGCGCTGATGACCACGAAGTTGCCTTGCACCACGTACTGACCACCCAGTTCACGTACTGCACCAGGCACGCCGCACCAGGCACACCGCACCAGGCACGCCGCACCAGGCACTCCGCACCAGGCACTTTGAAGTCCCGCCGGTGCAGCGTACGCCGCCCGCCGCCCGCCGTGCTCGTCGCCGACAGCGCCAGCGCGACCGGCACCAGCTGCGCGATGGGCCGCAGACGCTGCCGTAGCCGCAGCCGCGGGAGGCGACACGAATCCGAACTCGACTGCACCATCTTTTAACTCCTGCATTCGCAGATTCGCTGCTGCGCCGCAGTTTTTAAAGACGGCGCAGTCGTAGTCAGTAATTCGTTAGCCCTCAGAAGGTAAGGCAAAAGTACGGACACGCGAGCTTTCTGGAAACGACGGAAAATGTCTTCTGTACCAACCATGCGAAAAGTCAATATAGATTTTACGGTGCTGGGACGACGGGAAAAAATGGTGGTTTCACACGGCAATTGCAAAGAATCTAAGAATCTATGGTGGCACTACGGCGGGACAGAGCTGCGATCGACACTGTCGCCTTCGCCGTGATCGTCGCTGCTTGTGGTCGCTTCTGGTGCTCAGCGGCTGGGGTGGGAGGGGGGAAAGTGGTGGAGGATTCAGAAATTAGGAAAATGCCCCCAAATTGCAGACTTTTTACTCTGATTCAGACTTTTTTCATATTTTTTTTGGGGGTGTAATCTGATCCCATTGACTTTTTTTTCTATGTTACTCTGATTTTTCAGAGAAGTTTTTTGTACCTACGCTGATTTTCCAGACTTCTTTTCCAAGTGTACTCTGATGCTTCATCCTTTTATGGGGGGGGGACTCTGATTCATGTAATACCGTCATTTGAGGGGGGGTTGCGAGATTTGCGCTGGTACCTCTGTGACCACCGTCAATCACGCCAGATTTACATTTGCGCTGGCGCGGCCCGAGCCGTCAGGCGGGCAAATTTTGTGCGATGGCGCCAGCACAAAAATAGCCCGAGCAGCCGATTGGTCCTTGACCAAAACATGGCTGTTTTCGCCAATCCAGAGGCATTTTGCTGGGTGAGGCACAACAGACGAGGCACCGCACCCATGCTGACGCGACGGGTGTCTGGTTCATTCATGCATGGACAGCATCTCGCGCGCCGCGATGGAGTTGCAGCTGGCAGACCCCCTCCTTCTCCATCCATTCATTTTTTATGGGGAAAACGACCCTGCTTCTCCCCCCTCCAGCAAAACTTCACCCAAGCTTCGTGTAGCCCCTCGGTTTTCTTTCAGTGCGTTTGTTTTCCCACCACGCCTGCAGGCCATGGAGCAGGCTGACCTCGATGAGGACGTAGACGAGACAGATTATGACGAAAAAGAAGAAGAGTACTGGTGTGTCGTGAATTTCCGCGATGGTCGCGTCGCGCTAGAGTTCCTACGGCAGTCGGATGCCTTCGATCGTAGCCCTCAGAGGAAGCCTAGTGACGCTGTCCCTGCTGATCGCGATGCGCCTGTTCCCGACGCAACGGACAAGAAGTCTGCGGATGCAAGCCCAGTCGTTGCGTCCTGCTGCTGCAGCTCAGTCGTCGCGGACGCGCAGACTTCTTGTCCGTTGCGCAGTCGTTCAAGAGCACGCCGAGACGCAGAAGCATCGCCTCGCCATGTCCAAGCAGGACAATCTCCTGCAACTGGTGTCGAACCAGCAGCGAATCGACATGCATCCCCATGCGGCCGACGAAGAGAAGGAGCAAGTCATCGCGCTGCTCGACTCCCTCTACTTCTGCGCCAAGTGTAACGAACCCATGGAAACATGGATTCGTTTGGTGCGCTACCTCTCATCGCGCATTTTCAAGGGCTTCCCGAAGTCCGCCTACGGCACGTACTATAACTGGTGAGAACTCCAGTGACTATAAACTTCTCTCTGTCTCGTCTTTACATATGAACGTACAACGACTTGGCTTGTGCATGTCATGTAACAAATACGGCTTCGGCGAGCTGACACAAGCGACGGCAACATGGCTGCAGACGACTCAACTCCAAGACCTGCTGGCAAGTCCCTACATTGGCCTGAGCCTCGAGGAAAGCACCGATCGCTGCCATGGCAAGCACATGATCGTGTTTGCCACGTTCGTCCGGGAAGGGCGGCTTGTAATCGAGTACCTGGCTCTGTTGACAGTGGATAAGGCGGATGCGGCATCGCTTCTCGCCCTCTTGCTGTCTTTTCTGTAGGCGATTGGCGTCGACCTCGGCCGCATCTCTGGCATAAGCACTAACGGTGCTGCCGTCATGACGGAATCGCGCTCTGGACTTGTGGCCCGCCTTCGTCTTCGCGTTCCGCACCTTGTCTCTTGCCATTGCATTGCCCATCGGTTCGTCATCCGTTTGCTGTGTGCATGTCATATATATTTGCTTCTTGTTTTCTTTATAATTCCAATCCCTAATTTGCTTCCTAGTTTGCATCTCATCTCCCTATCCCACGCAGAGAGGCGCTGGCGGCGAAGGCTGCTGCCGAGGAGATCCCTGTCTTCGGCATGGTGGAAAACATCATTCGCGAGATCGCTGAGCTGCTCGGTCGCTCCAACCCTTGGCATCAACGGTTCCTGGAGCTCCACGAGGTGTTCATGTCGACGAACCTCGAGCTCCAGGGCATCCACAACATCTGGTGGCTGTCGCGCGGAGATGCGGTCATCCGCGTGGTCGAGGTCCTACCAGCCATCGTGGTCATGCTCCTCCTGATGTTCCTCGCCGACGTGCTGGAGCTGCTGAACGTCCTCAATAAGGTCTTCCAGCAGCAGGAGGTAAACTTGTTTAATGCTTGTGTTTGCATGCATGGCGATGTTGTTGCTTGTCTCTGCCGCTTGTCCCTTAACCACACATCCGTCTGTGATGCCCTACCTCTCCTCGCCGCCCTACCCACCAGCTGGACTACACGACGGTGCACGCACAGATCATCCGCACAACCTCACTGCTAGAGAGCCGCTACGTGGACTGCGGAGACGACTTCACTGGCGGGCCCAACGATCGATTGACGCGGTTCCTCGCCAAGCACGGGCCCAGCAAGTCCAAGCTAGTGACAGTGGAGGGGATCGACTCCGACGGCCGACCTTCACGGTTCACCTTCGAGTTGCACGAAGAGCCCCAAGAGGACTACCCCGGGCCCAGCGACCACGATGGGAGTGTCGTGGCGTGCATGGCTCTAGCGGAGGGCCTGGTCCGCAACCTCGACGAGCGCCTAGGCGATCTGCGACAACTGTCGGGAGCGCGCCTGTTCAGCGTCGACACATGGCTGCCCAACTGGGACCGACAGGCACGGAGGACATAGTGCCTCAAGTGGTTCAACTCGCTCGTGGTCATCTACCGCGCTGAAGACAGGGACGAGATTCTGCCGGTGAATCACCGTCTACTCCTTCCAGTATCCCTTCAGCAATGTATCTGAAACAAGACACCTATCTTTTACTAGCTGTGTACTGTTTCCGATAACCCAACCCTTCTCCCTCTCCTTGTGTGCCTTGTCTGATCAGGTATAGACAAGCGCAAAGCCCAGGGCGAGCTCCGCAACTTCGTTCCCATCCTTGATGCGCTTCCCAAGGCGGACAAGTGTCATTCCATGCGGGGCTGAGCGCCATGCTCAAGACGCAGGACTGGAGGGACAGCTGCCCCAACCTGGTGAACTTGTGGGAGGCGGTGGCTGTCCTTCCGTTGAGCACTGTCGAGTGCGAGCGCGGGTTCTCCCGCCAGAACGTCATCAAGAGTTGGCTGCGGGGGGCTCTCAAGGATACTAGGCTAGGAGATCTGATGTGCATGTCGCAGCTAGAGTATGACCCCGACTTGGAAGAGGTGGTTACCATCTGGCGGGCTTATAAGAAGAGGAAGCCCCTTAGCAACGCCCTGCCCGAGCCAGTAGCAGTAGGAAGGGAAAAGAGAAAGTAGATGATGTTATGCCGGCAGTGCCTCACCAGGATATGCAGGATATCGAATGATTCCGTATATGTAGTGAAATGTAGTGCATTCTCTAATGAAGAACCATAAAAAAGGCTCATACAAAAGTTTGGCTATGACTCTGATTGGTCGACAAAAAATCCATGGCTACTCTGATTTTTCATACCTTTTCAAGGAGGTAACTCTGACACCCATACCAAGGGAAGGCAGGGGACTCTGACGAATCAGACAGGCCCAAAACCAATTTGGGGGCCTGGTTATGAATTAATCAGAGTAATAACAGGTAGTGTAATAAAGGAGTCGTGATGCAAGAGTGTCGATACAAATGAGGGCCTAGTAATTTATAGGCACAAACAGAGCTAGCCGAGAACCACGCGAACAGGTTGGGGCGGTCCGGTTGGCGAAAGCCACGGAAGCGCCGCGCGTCTAGGTTTGGGTTCGCGAAATGGTTCGGGATCGAAGAAGTTGGCCGAGCATGGACTTCCGAGAGTCGAGGGCGTACGCGCTATAGTCGAGCCCAGTAAGGAAAAGGGGATTTCCTTACACCACCCCCCCTTCCGGGATGAGACTACCCACATCCGGGACGCGTCGACGGTGTAAATAGTCCCGGACGACTTTGCGTTCACTGAGCATAGCTACGAGGACCCAAAGATCATCGTCAGTTGTGCGATCGACCCATCGTACAAGGAAATTGACGGCTGCTGTCTCTCGATGGCCTCGTACGCGATGAGCAAGAATATTGGATGGCTCGATCGTTGGCTCGGGTACTGGGTTGACCGTAGGATTGATGTGTTGACGGTCGAGATTAGTCGTACTTGGAACGAACGGTCGCAAGAGGCTGACGTGGAACGAATCATGGATTCGCCAGTCGGCCGGCAGTTGCAGTTGGGCTGTGACTGGTGTCACCATGCGGATGATACGGATTGGGCCGCAAAATCTTGGTCGTAATTTATTTGGGATGGGAATTCCCAAATTACTGGTGTCGAGCAGGACCAACTGCCCAGTGGCGAGCATTAAGTCTCGGCGTCGTCGGTCAGCTAGCTGCTTAGCCCTCTGGTTGGCTTTGAGGATGGCATCGGCGGCTTTTTGCTGAGACTGTCGGAGATTTTCGACGAACCGCTGAGATCTTGGTGCCGGGTTTTCTATCGAGGGCGATAGAGGGGTTGTTGGATCTATCCCGTGATTAAGGAAGAACAGGGACTGAGTAGTCGTGGCCGATGGGGCGTCGTTGTACGCAAACTCGATCAACGGAAGGGCGTCTTCTCATTGGGCCGGGTCTATGCATGTCGTGCGGATCAGCTGCTCCATCGTCAGATTGGTGCTCTCAGTCTGGCCGTCCGATTGCGGGTGGTACGCCGTGGACAGATGCAGACGTGTGCCGTACTGCTGTCTGGTTTTTGTCCAGAAGTTGGACGTAAACTGTGGGTCGCGATCGCTGATGATTGCCGACGGGATGTCGTTTAGCCGCACCATGTTCGTGAGGAACAGTTTTGTTGTCTGCTCGGCATTAATTGTCGTCTTGCAGGCGGCGAAGTGGGCCATCTTGGTCAACCGGTCAACGACGACGAGAATCGCGTCGTTACCGCTTGGGCCAGCTGGCAGGCCAGTGACGGAGTCCATTGTCACTTGTTGCCAGGGTCAGCTGGGTGGCTCGAGCGGCTGTAGCAATCCCGCAGGTCGAA